TTATTTTTATTTTATGTCATTTTATTTTATTTTAAATAAAGATTTTTTTTTTTTGCCTTACTAATCAGTTTGGTGGCTGAGAATTTCCGCTGCATTTTATGGAGGGAGTTAAAAAAAAAAAAAACAAACACCACAAACCCCAATAAAGCTGCCAAAAAACATCTGTCAAGCTGAGCCAAAACAGAGGAGAAAGAAATCAAAGTTGCTTTTGTGGCTGATTTTCACGGGGCTGACTTGTTATCAAAGAGCCCTACGGAAGGCAGAGCCATTTTGGGAGAGACTCTGGAATTTGGGAATTGTTTAGGTTGGAAAAGCCCTCTTGGATGTCCCCAAGTGCCACTTCCAGGTGGTTGTTAAATCCTTCCAGGGATGGGGATCCCACCTCTCCCAAATCTCCTCAAAGCTCTCGAGGAAAAGCCAAGCTGGGATTCAACCTGGGAGCAAAACAGGAGGGGAAAAAAAGGCCCCGGGAAAACACCGAGATCTGAGGGGGCGAGAGAAGGAAAAAAAAATGTCATTTTAACCAGAAAGCAACAAAAAACACAACAGGAACGGAGCTGAGCTTCGCATTCCCGGGATGAAAGGTTAACAGGGACAAGGAGCTGCCGTTTTCCATCGCAAATCCATGGATAACGGAGAGAAAACCTCCCAAAAAAACCCCATTTTAATATCAGCTCTGGTGGCCCTTTTCCTAAAGAAAAGGGTTAAATTTCACAAAAATAAATTTACGATGGGGAAACTCCTCAACTTCCACCAGCAAAGGAGAAAAGAACCGACCGAAGGCACCAAAAAAAAAAACCTCCAGAGGAGAAGGAGGTTGAGGGGAAAAAAATAATAAATAAAAAAAAAATCCCCACATTTGCATTTTCTGCAGAAAACTCGAGCAGCTGCTGCCGGGAAGAGGCACCAGAATCCACCTGGGGGAGGGAAACGGCGCTTCCCATGGAAGTGCAGATTCCTTGGGAAGTGCGGGTTGCTCAGACCTGCCCTCGCCTCCCGCTATACATGGATAAGGAACAAAATCTCCGGGAAAAAGTCCCACCAAGAGAGGGATTTTGGGGTTTTCCCAGCCCGGGATTCCAGAGGGATGCTGCACGCCAAGATCCCCCCCTCTTATCCATGATTCATTCCGGATTTATTCCATTCTTTTCCATGGAAGCCTCGCTGTTTCATCTCACCCTGCTCTGGCGGGGGAACAACTTCCCCACAGGCTCCGAGGAAACTCAGAGAGAGGGATTTCCCGTGGCTTAAGGGACACGGAGAGGGGGGTTATTCAATTCCAAACAATTTTCCGGATGCAGCAGTTGGAGGGGAATGGCCTGGCTTGCTTGTCTTGGTGGAGAGATCCAGCACCAAGAGCTTGCCAAGTTCTGGTTCTCGGATATCCCAGTAAGAACTGGAATGGTTTGGGCGGGAAGGGAGA